AGCCCCCTGTAACCTATCCCCCAACTTCATAGTCCAGCAAGTTTGAGCATTTTGTAGTCCTCAAGTAAACATTACTGTTTCTTTACTAGATGCCTATACTATGTTTCTTCAGAGTATTTACATTCCTTTAGCAGCTAAACATTGATAGTTAGATTATATATAAGGATGACATAAAAATAAAATCCCCAAAACATTTCTTAATTTTTTTAACTTTTTCTTTTCTCTCTTTTTTTAATTAATTAATTCAATTTCCAACTCAGTCATAGGTCCTTCCCTCTTCTCCTCCTAGTCCCACCCACACTTCAGCATCCTCCCTCCCCTATTTCTTCAGAATAGGGTAGCCCCCCCCAATCCAGTCACCCCCACTCATCTATTCACATGAGGATTGAGTTCATTTCCCTCCCCTGTGGCCTAGTAGGGCAGTCCCAACAGGGCGAAGTGATAAAAAAGCAGTAACACAGTCCATGTCAGAGATGTCCCCCACTCCCTTGACTGTTGGGCCCACATGAAGCCTAAGATGCCCATTGGGTATTTATAAGTAAAGAACCTAGGTGCAGACTATGCATTGCCCTTGGTTGGTGCCTCCAAAATGTTTCTGAAGGAGCTCGTGAGATGCCTCAGTAGGTAATAGTGCTGCTGGCAAACCTGAAACCTGAGTTCAATCCCAGGGACCACATGATTGAAAGGAGAGAAATGACTCCTGCAGATTTTCCTCCTAAAATCCTCCCCCTACAAAAACAAACAATCAATCAAACAAACAAACGCACACATTAAAACGCATTTCCTCAGAAACTAGCTTAAACGTGGTGTTTGGCCCTACCAATGGTAAAGTGGTGCAAGAGGGTAAGCGGCATGCAGGACCCCGCCTGCTGTCAAAGAGCAGGGACTGCTGGAGAGGCGGAAATGACCTGCCTGCTACACCAGTCTGTTTGTACAGCGCGGGCACAAACTGAAGGCTTGGGGGTGCGTGGCAAGGAGAGATACCTGGAGGCCTCTCAGAAGACAGACTCCACAGACGGAGCTTGATCTGATTTGGTTTTGAACGCTGAGGAGGACTCCGACATCTGAAGGAGCTGGTCTGGTCTGGCTGCGCCTTCTCTTCCTGGCTTTGGAGTCAATATAACCCATTTTGGGGAAGTAATTTTTATTAAAAAAAAAAAAAATCATTGGTCATGGTATTTTCTGGCTTAGAAATGCTGAATGCTGTCTGCTGTTCTCTGATGGCCAAATTCTCTGTAACTGGCCCCAATATCTATTTATTGGTCCAGAAGGCCTTTAAGGTCATTTCCAAGCTGAGTCCATAATTACAGCATTGGAGTTTTACCTGCAGCTTCCCAGAATCCTTCCCTCGCTACACCTTGGCTTTGCTAACACTGTTCTTGTGGGATACAATGGAGGTTTTCTTGTGTTAAAATTTATATTTTAAGTTTTCTGTACACATCTCAGGACAGCAGAGTGAACTAGTACTTCTTGTCTCTGAATGTTGCAAGCAATCGCCATGTGTAGGACTTGGTTGATGAATGCTCACACACCTCTTTGGCAGTCTTCTGCCTTTGCATTATACGCAGAGGAGTATACAAAGGAAGAAGTGATATTACGGGCTTTTTTGTTTGTTTAGATTCAAATCCTTCTAATGGACTCTTAGTTTTTAGAAAAATCAATTTTTTATTTGTTTTAAAAATCATTACATATCAAATACAAATTTAATAAATTCAGTATTGTTTTATGCTGCAGTATCTGGCAAAACCTTGCACTGTGCCTTGTGTATAATCAAAGAATTATAGAATTAACAACAAACATTCACACACATAATAAAAGCTGAGGTAATTTTATTTCCAATCTGAAATTAGGACTCCTTTTTTCTAATATATTCTCTTGTTTTAAGAAAGCTTATCTTTTATTTGTTATGTTTTGAATGTGTGTAAATGCAATATATATATATATATATATATATATATATATATATATATATATATTACATACACAAACACACACACACATCCCTTACATGAACTAATACTTTTGGCTAAAAGGACCATACCTTATTCATGTCTACCTCTTCTTTAAGGTTGCTGCACTAACATTTTTGGTTTATGTCAGGTTATTAAAGCATTGTATATTAGCAAAATATATCTGATATAACCAATTAAGTATCCATATCCAAGAATATATCCAAGGACTCAACTTAAATTCTTCACTTTTTTTGTTTTGTTTTGGAGACAAGGTTTCTCTGTGCAACAGCCCACATGTTTTATTATGAACACAGTAAATAATTCAACAATTCAGTTATCAAGGGTTATGATAATGGGTATATTATAATTAAATAGCTTACATTTTTATTATTTATGGAACAACTGAGTGAACCTAAGTGCATAATTACCAGCCATATATTTGAATTTATAGGGGCAGTTGCTGGGGAAAAAATAAAGGTATTCATTAGGTACAAAGTAACTGTAGTCAGTGTTTATTCTAATTTCAGATTGACTTACAAATAATCCATTTTCCTTATGTGATTGTGTCAGTGGTAGATAGTAAAGAAACATGTTTTCTTACAGAACCTCTGCTAGTGGGAAATGCTCTTTATCTAATATTGCTAATAAGCTGCGAGAGGAATGTTGTCTCTCCAGGAGGTTTGGATCGAGAAGGAGCCTAGGAAGGCTGTGTGCGTATGTCAGTGAAAGCTGTTGGTTTTTGTTTTTTTGTTTTTTCCTACTATGTAGGCAGTCTTAGGCTCAGTCACTAACACTGCAGAAAACCCCAAACAGGAAAACAAACAAACAAACAAAACAAAAAAAAAAAACTAACCACCCAGACAGGCAAAACCCTGAACAAGAAACAACTCATTCAGTCCACCTCCCTTCTCTGTCCAAGCCACCCACACCCTGACAGTTCAACCTTCACACTTTGCCACGGAGAAGCTGTGGTCTAACGAGGACAAGCCCTGCCTAGGGTTATATTCTGTCCTGATTTCTGCCTTTCCCCCCTCCCCTGTGTTATTTTAAGGGGATCTATACATAAACATTAAGTCCACAGGAATTTACAAAAACGAGGCTCACTTCTGGGTCTGTTGTAGCTTCTAAATGATCCCACTGATCAGAGGCTCCTTAAAGGTGTGTCCCCTCAAAACACCAGCACGTATTGGAAGTCGGCCACAGCCGAGGTACACTCCCATCGCAGCAGACATTTTTCTTCTTATTTCAAGAAGACAGATGAGCTCTGGAGGCTTCTGGGAAGGTGTCTTTGGAGAGACAATGTAGGAAAGAGACTGAAACTCACAAGAGTAGTATTTGAGACACCACCCAGTGTTGGCAGGTTTGGTGGGCAGCCAGAGGGCAGTGTGGCCTCATAGGATCCTGGCCCCAAAGTCATGCAGGCTTTGACACCCATTCTTACAAACTGCTAAACTCGTGGCCTGAGATTCCTCAAAGGAATGGCTGAAAAGAAATGAAGGGAATTGGGCATTTAGCTAGAAATTACAAAACCAAGCCAAAGGCAAGAAGCTAAAATTAGTAAATTAGTAATGAAAAACAAACACACACACAAAGTGTCTCCAGCAGCCGAAAATGTCGTGTTACCTTTCTCCGCCCACCCGGCCCAGCCTCAGCTGAGCGCAGTGTGTGGTTTTGAGTTTGAGTGAAGGCAAGTAGCTTAACTATATCAGGAGATTTCGAAAAGCTGCTGGGTTGAACAACTGTTCTAAGGTTCTGGCTACAGAACCATACCACCCAGAAGCTTTAAGCTTACGACTTCAATCTTCTGTACTCCAGGTCATTCCGCTGTTCTCTGAACACGGCCTAAACACCTTAGATGAACTGACTGAGGGTAGGGAATTGTTGGTCTTGCCAGAACACCCAAAGTGAACTGTGTTTTCTTATGATACATCTGGAGTTGCCCGTGCTAGAGCCTCCATTCTCATAAGAACTGAACAGTGTAGACTCTAGGGCTAAGCTGTTAAGAGTGACAACTGACTTTACACCTCCCTTCTGGGCTCACTGTGAAGCGGGGAATATGACACAAGCCTCATGGACTCTTCATTCAATACCTTCTGCTGCCATGTTTGTGACAGGACCTCTGTAAGCAGTCAGCAAACCAGACACAAAATCTTGTGTCTTCCAGTTTGATGTAGAGGGGTGTGTAGAGACACAAAACAAATTATAACACGTTGGAAGGTGAAATGTCACCATGAGAAACAGAGAGAGAGTCCCTGTATGAAAGCATGGATCCACTCTTAAATAGTGGCCAACTGAGGCCTCACTGAAAAGATAAAATCGGACTAACACTTGAAAAGACATGAGGAGCCTTGCGGAAGTGTAAAAGAAACCTCTTTAGAGCAGTAAGCTAGCATCAAGCCTCTTGTGTAGGGCCATTCTGGGCGGCTCTGGCAGAGGCCATGGTGACTGAACTCCACCAAGTGAGCTGAAGGGAAGAGGATCTGCGTCACAGTGACAGAGAGTGGGCAGCAGTTGGGTAGAGCCTTGAAACCTATGGCAAGGACTTTGGCTTTGGCCTCTGAATAGAACGGTGCTGATGGGAGTAGGGGGTACGGAACCAAAAAAAAAAAAAAAAAGAAAAATGCATGTCACAGGGTTGTGTGAATTAAAAACACTAGAGCATAGGAAGTAGTGTACATTCCGTAAGCATTCATTTGATACTCCTTCATTAATTGGATGTTTATTCTGCACACTGTGGGAAGCCCCTCCCCCCAACCCATCACCAACCCATCAGTGTTAATGTAGGTTTTTTTGTTTGTTTGTTTGTTTTTTGTTTTTTCTCCATATGGAGTAATTATAGTTTTTGTTTCTGGTTGCTAATTGCTGTGAGAAATCCCGCTGGGTTGTTTTATCTTCCAGAATCAGATGGACCTGGCTTGTTGCTATGACTTCTGCCTTGAGGTTTTATTTATTTATTTTTTTTAAGTGTGTGATGTATTTTAGTGTCTGTTACATGTTCAGAGAAAACGTCTGAGTTTCTTCAGTGCTGCTCTCCTTTGCTTTTCTCAGTGCTCAGCAGAGGAGCAGTCAGGTTCACAAGAAAAGCACAATTGGAAACCAGGTAGGAACCACAGCAACCAAGTGCATGCCTACCCCAAAGCATTGGAACTAAACTGCTTGACTGACAACTTTTTTAAATGCAAATTAATCATATGTAGCTTTTGCTTAAGACGTAGCCTTTTCTTTTCATTTTGCTTCTTGTTTTTGGAGCGAATTTTGCGTTTTGTTTTGGCTAGTTTTGCAGTTAACCCTACCGCCTCACCTTACGTAACTTCCGTAACCCCCGCTCCTTGCTGTGAACTTTGCGTTAGACTCAGTATCCTCCTTTGCTTGCTTCTGTTACCATTAATTTAACATTGAAACCGAAGCATTTCAAGGTTGAAAATACGGTGAGTAGTTGCATGAGCTTCGGGGTGCTGCTGGCTAGTTCACACGTTCGCACAGCTTGGTAACAGTGAAGGGACAGCTCAGAAAGAAGGCAGTGTTGGATTTTCTCTCTGCCATGCCAAATTTCTACTGGTTAACGGTGATGCTAATTGCTAGGGTGGTATGATCACTGAGTTTTTGAGTTTGGGGGCTGACCAGCTGTCTCTGACTAATAGCGCTCTGCAGCGATTGTCTTAACTCCGGCAGTTTGCTGTTTCTTCTATGTTTTATGTGGTAATGAATATTTGCATTGTTATTTCTTTTCAAGTCAAAACAATGATGATTTTAAAGCTTTTTTTTTAAATGCAGAGGTACAATTATTGAACAAATTGAAACCTCTGCTCTAGACGATTTTTTCCCATTGTTTTGAAAGGAGAAGATGTAATAACAGACTTGATTTTAAGCCTTATTTTTTTTTTCTGAACTAAAGCATATAATTCTTTGCTATTTCAGGGAACCAATCTTCCGCCTTCAAGGCAAATTGTACGAGCTAAGTTCTGTAAGCCTTACTGTTGCTTTTTTTTTTTTTTAAGCTTCCCAAGGGCACAGTTTGTCTTTAACTGATTAACTCAACTAGCGCTTGCTACTAATTGTTTTTCTTTAAACTTAGGTTGTCTTGTTTGTAACACCCTATCACTGAAATAAAACTCCTCTTTGGAGGGCAATCCTTTCACTGCTAATCACTTGCTGTGGTATGGAGGGTATGAACTAGTAAACCCTACACTGCCTTAACAACAAACCCTTCACCTGGTGGGGGCTTTGATATCTCTCTAATCTTAACGGGCCTTACAATCATTAAAACCATTAACTATCTCCCCCTCTATCCTTTTCTGCTTTGTTGTTCTGAGACGTAAGCCTTTTTTCCTTCCCCATATAATAATTTCAATCACTGTACATGATGTTCCTAAAAGGTGGGTGAACACTGATTATCTGACTTTGATATATTTATTTGTAAGCTTACCCAGTTCTAATTATTGGTATTTTTTAAGACTAAAAACCCCAGAGCGAAATTACATTTTTTAATAGGGCTGCAGAGTTGAATCTTTTAATATTAGATGGTCTCTCTACCTTTTACAGAAGTAGAAAGACATGATGAAATGACTGCAGAAGGATTTAGGAAGAAACTGTGTTCTCCTTTATGCTATGAGAGAAACAGGATTGTCCTTCCAGCTGCACAGGTTGATAATGAGGCTGGCACGTGGGTCGGTTATTTGCCCCTAATATTTAAGAAAACCCAAGCTTTGGATCTATGTATTCCAGAGTCCACCTTCAATCACACCCTTTTGCAGCCATGGAGATTTATTCAAAATGATCCCAAGTTTGCTCAAATGTGTGATGGGAAGAATGGAATACATCTCTGTAAAATTATATGGGGAGGCTTGCAGGAGAGGGAGGCAGGAGGATTGTCATGAGTTAAAGGCCAGCTTGCACTACTAAATGAGATCTAGTCCAACTGGGGTACAGAGTGAATAAAAAATAGAATCTCTACAGGGTGATCGTGGGAGTCAGAAACGACATGCATAAAAATGCTTCCACAGCCAGGTGCAAGATACATATGTACCCTAGGAAGAGCACAATCCTTGCTCCCAGAAGGCATGTGCTACTTAGAACTTTTAGATGAAATTGTACAAAGTACGAGAAAATTATAGAAGTTACAAGATGAGGAAAGTGAAGTGTCTGGAAAATTAGAAGTTACAACAAGTTATTCTAGTGCCTACAATGTCTAGATTGTGGCTTAGTGTGGCATAGGTTTACCTACAAACGCTCCCTCCTGGTCAGTAGGAAAAGCAATAGTGTAATGGCACGGAAACCTACTTTAAGTTAGATCTGAGAGGAAGCTTGGAATTGCTCTCAATCACAGATCCTTAAATGCTGAGATCATAGCTACGTTTCTGAAGCTCCATTTTTTGCCAACAGAAAATCCTACACATTATGGAGGTTGTGTAACCCAAGATAAGAGAATTGGGCACATGTTGGAAAATAGTACCCCAAACTTTTGGGGTCACTCAAGTCTTGAAAGTCAGAATTATTTTAGTTATAGAAAAACAATACCTTTATGATATTATGCAGGACCCAACATTCTCCTGGGGTCAGAGGTAGTAGCCTATCATTCAGCATAGCCTACTCATGTAGAGGAACAAGTGAATGGGCACATCAGGTAGACCAAACAAAAGGGATAAATCTCCTGTTTTAGATCAGATTTTGCTGCCAATTAAAATAGTACTCTCGATTTGCAACTGTTAGCTTATGAATCTCAATAACTTATTTTCCAGAATCAGACCCTGCAACTTATAACACAAGATGATATACTTAAGAGGATCTTCTATAGTTTTTCTGCTTAGCAGAGATATACTATCACAACTTAAACTTGTTTTCTTTATGAATCTGGGTATGTTATGCTCATTTCGACTCGTGCAGTTTGCCTATGAAAAGGTGCAGAGTCAGGGGCCTTAGTTCCCAGCGTTCCAACTGCTGCTACCATGTACGATAAAGCTGAACGTGGCTTTCAAGTGATGCATCCATTCTGCTGTCCTCCCCGGGCTGCAAGGTGTGAGGCAAACTTGGTAGCCACTAGGCTACAGAAACAACACACGACCCTCCTCCACTCTTACCAGCCTTGACATTTTTAGCAGTCCTACAAATAGATGCCAGCATGTAACACATAAAACTACAGTCACGCAATACATAAAGTTGGGCTTTTCACAGTTTAAATGGAAGCTTCAATCATCTCTATGCTCATCAAATGTGTTTAAAATATAAATGTGTCAAAACCTGTGGCTATGCACAGAACAGAAGATGCGCTCATTCTCCCCTTGGGGATATTGGTAAGTAAGCATGTTCAGTACTAATTCCAGATGCTTCTGCTCACTCGAGTCTTGCTGAAATGTCACTTCTGGCCCTATCTTGTGTGTCTGATTACCCTCCCTCCTCAGGGCCTTACACTGTCTCATTTTGTTGTTCAAATTTTTCTTCTGACATTCTGTCTGCTGTTATGAGGACCAGAGTTCCATCAAAGCTATTTTTTTTTTCTGAGAGCAGATACAGGGTCTTTAAGCACAACCACATGAACATTTTAGAAGCATCCTGCTGCTTATGGAAGGCTTTGAAGGGGATGCAAGATGGAAAAAGAAGACTAGTTAAATATTTTGGATAAGAAATTGTGGATATTTCTGAGTTAGTGGAAATAATGAAAAACTCAAGAATTTGATTAAACAAGAAGAATTTCAAAAGCTTTGGGGATGAACTGGATGCTAGGAAGAGGGTTCAAGGCTCTGTTGCTCTCGTGCTTCCGATTAGAGCACAAGAAAGGAACATAGATGATTTGGTTTTGATTCAGACTCATAGCGTGGCAGATGTGTTGAGTGTGGGTCCACATTCACAACTTGGGAAGCCAGAGTGAGCATATGCAGTAGGAATTTGGATGGCCATGTCTTGAGTTCAGAATAGACAGATGATGTCTTCAAAGTCACAGGAGAGCCACTGATAGATTTCCAGTAGGGAAAGGCTACTGACTTCTGTATCAGGAGAGTCTATAGAATGGTTTGGAAGAGTACAAGTACAGATCCAGGATTTAATATTGCTTTCAAGTAACGTGTGTTAAAAATGCAAATATTGGTGTCCAGACGCATATAGAAGAAGGAAGATATTCAAACCATTTTTAGGAGTGATTATGAATAGTCATTGGAGGAACGAGATGTTCTTTTAGGCTTAATGCTAAGGGGATCCACTGACAAAAGAAGGTAGGAAAAGAGAATGTGAGAGTGGGTGGAAATGAAGATAGGAGTTGTCTGTGCCTATTGAAGACATCATTATGGCTTGGGGTTCCGGAGTCATGTAAAATGGAGGGACATGTTTTACAGTTGTCAGTACATAAGGTAGCTACCAAAGTCATGGGACAGATTCGACTAACTCTAAAGGGTGATAACATAGGAAGAAATATAGGGTCCAAAGAATGATAGGGAAAGAACTGGAACACACGAGAAACTGAAAAGAGGATCAAGAGGTGGTAAGAGACTCCGGCAACTGGAAGCGGAGCAGATTGGAAGACAAAGGGAGAGGACATTCCAAAGAAGGGTCGATGTTATTGGATAATTCCCCAAACAGGGGATCCCAGCAAGCTTAGGGGAGGTTGGCAGGGGGTATAACGCAGTGCTAGGTCTCATCTGATATCTCCAGCTTTTCTAGTCTATAGTTGAAAGCTGACATAAAGCTGAATTGTTATGAGCTGAGATCTTTCCAGAGTTAATATGGAAGGCCAAGAGAAAATTCACATTGCAGTTTTGCAGAGAGAGAGAAAGGTGTGGCGATGCATGGTTTGATGGGAGTGGTTTGGATTTTATATAAACCAGGAGATACCAACCGAGTAGCAAGCAGCCTCCAAATCTTAGCGGCTCATTAACATGAGAGCCTGCCTCCGTGTGACGTGACATCCCTAAGAAGTAAGGAGATGGTTGTCCCACTCTCAAGATGAAGATTTTTTTTTTGTCTCGTTGACAAGATGATTGAGTGAAGCAACTACAGAAGTGAGTATTATTTTGATTTGTGGTTCCAGTCCTTGAGTTGCTGGCTTCATTCTTTTTCACTGTCTGGAGCTGGAACATCGTGGTGGAGGAGGCATAGTGAAGCCGAGCTTACTCAACTTGTGGCTGCCAGGAAGCCGAGACCAAGGACAGGTCAAATGGAAGATGCACCTCTCCAAGGGCATCAAGGGCACACAGTGACCTACTAATGTCATCAAATTATTAATCCATTGTTGCACATTAATCAAGCAACTCTCATTAACCAGAACTCTCACTGTCCAGCGGTTTCCCAAAAACCCACCAGCTGGCATCCAGGCCTTGACTCTAGAAGCTCCAAGAGACATTTCATATTGAAACAATAACATGGCCAGACTTGAGAATATCCCTGTTTCTTCCAGCAAATGGGAAAAAAAAATATAAGTCTGAGTGAAGGAAGTTTTAGTGGCATGTCACTTCACATTCCACTGACCTGGCAGTCATTTGGATTCACCAAATGACAAGGGAATAAGAAAGTAATATTGAGTCTGTGCTGGGGGCGGGGGAGGAAAGGGTGAAGCTGAATGAAAATTGAAAGGAAATCGATTAGCTGGGACATTAGAAGGTTTCACTGAAGTCAGAGAAAATACGTCCTAGGATTAAGGGGAAGCAGCAGTGAATGGATGATGTCTCTTGAAAGTCTGAGGTTAGGCGCTGGAGAAATGGCTCAGTGGTTAAGAGCACTGTCTGCTCTTCCATAGATCCTGAGCTCAATTCCCACAACCACATGGTGGCTCACAGACATCTATACTGATGCTCTCTTCTGTCATGGAGGTGTACATGCAGATAAAACACTCACCTACAATAAATAAATAAAGTTTGAAAACAAAAAAGAACTTCTGAGGTCGTTATAGGAAAAAAGAGTGCAGGCTCTGGAGGGGAGCATAGGACAGCCAGGGAGAGGCATGGAGCCTTGTTTGTCTTAAG